TGGGAACAAAACTAAATTGTTTTTGTTGTCCCACTAGTTGTGTTTGTTTGGCATCCTAGTTAACGTTGTCATTTACTGACATTGGGTTTATGTAGCAATAATAGATTTAATAGATAAAACAACAGATTCTTTCTATTTGGGAATTTGTTGATGTGAGGGTGGCAGCAGGACATCCAAGTGAATTTTTACAATAGCTGTATGAATTTAGACCTAAGGAAGAAGTCAAAAAAATACTCGTATGTTTCTCTTGAGCAATTTTTTCCCCGTTTAGCTCTTTATGAATGATGATCACTTGAAAACCAAGATATCTATAATCCCTCAATAATCTTTGTGGGTTTATCTGCTTTGATCAAACCTACAGAAGGCTACCAAGATAAACTATCTGAAATACCATATTTTTGTGCCTCAAAAACAGTGACTACCAATCAATTATCAATCAAATTTGAATTTCTCAGCTCAGCAGGCAATTTTCACCAATTGTCTCTCCATATTTACTTTAACTCATTTCTCACCACTTCCACATGGACCACTGTTTCTGACCCCAACAGAACTCTTTAGGCTTCATTTATACTTTTGCCGTTCACCATACTGGAACACTATTTCAACCAAATTCTATTTTCAACACCCAATTCAGACACTCTTAACATGGGTTTCAGGCAAACCAGGGTGTTTATAAGGCCCCTGAGATTGCAGATGAATTTGTATGCCTTTTGTGGGAACAGTTAAGACAGTTTTAATACAGGGTCTGTAACCCAGAAAGTAGTTAAGAACCATTGACATAACCTAAAGTATATGATTCACTTCACTGTACTCACTGTTCACTGCCCTTCCCAGAACATGTGATTACAGAGCCTCTTCTTCTTAGATGCCTCACTGTACTTGCTCTTGCTGCAGCTGCTCCCACTGATTGCCCCACAGCCAACTGGAACTTACTCTGGGTCCAAAGTAACTCTGACCACAGACAGGAAGTACTTTTGTTTCCTAAGCCCCCATATTCAGCTATTATTTCTCAGACTAACCTGAGATGTGGTTTGCCAGGGTTTTCTGATAACTCTACCTGGTTGCTTGTTACCTAATGTTTTGGGTCCCTCCTGAACAATCATGCATATGCTCCATGACTGAAAGTTCCCTCATTCCCTGGCATCACTGCAGTTGGCCTTCTGTGCCATGTCTATCTCCACAGAACTCATGGTTTTCCACTGTTAGGTCCTGTCCTCATTTTTACAAATCCTGCTACTTCATCTTGGGCTCCAACAACAATAATGTTGATGCCAATAAGAACAATAACAAGCGTGCAGTGTTTACCTACACTAGGCAATATATTTAATGTTTCATATGCACTGCCTCATTTCTTCCTGACAACTGCCTTACCTGATAGACATTTTTTAGCAGGACATTCCATTTATGGTAGCTACCCTTTATTGAGCAATCACTACATACCACACATTTTGCTAGGCTATACATACATGTAATCCCCAAGAACATATGGAATGGGTTTTTTTATCTACAATTTTTAGAAGAGGAATCTGAGAACAAAGATCCTCAATGACTAAGTTCACTTAGATAGCAAATTGCAATTAAATCTCAGGGTCTGTGTTCCCAGTGCCAGAGTTAAATAGGCTGGCCTGTTCCTCAGATGCCTGCCTCCCTGTCCCACCAGAACCTATGGTCCTGATAGGCAAGTCTCACTGCTCCTGGCTTTTGCCTCATCGGATTGTTTCTGGATATGATATTCATGTACTGAGTGTGTCCTAAAGTACTTGCTTGTAGGTTGCATGTGTTCTTCAGTTCCTTTGCTTGTTCATTCATTAATTTATTAGTTTATTCACTTGTTTGGCATCTACTTACTGGGTGTTCATTCTATGCTAAGTCTTACTCAAAAACTAGGGAAACAAGATTGGAAAAGCACAGCTCGGAGATAGACATGTAAGTAAATATGGTGGTCTAACAACAACTATAATGGAAGTAAGGAGCCAATTTATGAGTCAAGGTAAGCACATAGAAGCTAGCACTTGAGCTGAGACATAAAGGCCTTTCAGTCAGAGACAAGAGAATCTGGTAGGAGCATAACGGCAAATTCAGAGAGCCCTAGCAGGTTCAGTAAATGCTGGGGGTTGGGGCAGGAGATGAGAGGGATGGTATAGATAAGGAACCAGATCACTGGGGAGCCTACAGATCCTGCTGATGAGTGTAGGTTTTCTCCCAGACGTAGGAGAGCTTCAAAGGAATCCTGCCACTACTCCATTATGTAGAATTTATATTAGTAGAAAGTAGAAACCACATCTTCTAGTTTGGGAGAAGAATGTTCCTTGTCATGCCAAGTTAATGTTACTTGTATAATGGAGCCCCAGTACTGCTTGCTGGGTAAGAATTTATAATCTCCTAATACATTTGTTTAGCAAATGCCCAGAGACATGACACCAGAACACACTCTACCAGGTTTAAAATGTTCTTTAATTCTTCCTCTTTAGTCAGCCTGAAACACTGAAGGATGGTTAGCTTGAAAGACTTGTCTGAAAGGCTTACTGATTCTAAATGATGTGTGACATTATCAGGGATTAGGGCACACACAACCATCTCTGAGCTCGGAAAGTTTAGCTCCTGTGACGAATATGATCTTTACCCCATAAATTCAATCTGCTGACTTGCTCCTTTACATGATTTCTGATTAGAGTTTGGAAATCCTTTAGAGAGTGAGAGTTACTAAAAGAAAGGACCCGGGGAAGTTTTAGGACCATGCACCTTATTTCATGTTTCTTAATAAAACCTGATGCCTGCAAAGTTTTATTGAATTATGTACTCCTTGGAAGAAACATCCACATTCTCTGACTTTTGCATGTTTTGGCCTGTCTCAGAATTCACTCTGTGCAATCTTTCAACAGACTGGGACACTACTCCTAGTCATCTGCTTCCTATACCTGCAGGTACCTATACCCTGCCAAGAGTGACATATAGCATTGTAACTTGGGAGAAAAAAAGAGATTATCGATAAAAGTTTTAATCCATGACCCACCTCTCCTTTCAACCCCGAACTGTGGAGCCTGAGAATGGGGAATTTGCTCTTTGGAGTAAAAGATGGTAAAATACTTTCTTGCTTTCAGTGTGGTCCCTCATCTGGGAGTTCATTATTTCTTTAAACATCCTTAACTGTGGCTTGGTAATTTTACTTTCTTATGCAACCTATGTACGAGCAAAAGGTGCTTGGGGTGCTCCAAGTGTTTGATCCTAAGCTTTCATGTGGCCTCCTGCCTCTCCTTGCACTGGCAGGAGATGAAAGGAAACCAGCTGTTTTCTTGTTAAAGATCAAGGTGATCAGGATGGCGACTCAGGACCTGGCCATGATCGCTGCAGGGAGAGCAGAGGCTGGGCAATGTTTTTCCATTAGGCACAGTATGTCAGATTTGTGTAGCTGTCAGAAAGTGTATTTCATTTCATGCCTATTTGTGATTTCTTTGTTGTTGTTGTTGCCAGGTTTAAATTCCTGGCATCACACTCAGTAAACTGAATGAGGCTATTATTAGTAGTCTATCCCAATTGTAAGAGAATAACTAATATCTCAGATTCTTACTATGTTTCTGTGTTGTTCTTCATACCCTTATTTTTATCCTCACAATAATACTATGAGATAGAAGGTGTTATTTCCATTTTACAGAAGAGAAAATCGAGACACAAGAATTTAAGTAACTTGTGTAGATTATATTGCTTATAAATGTTAGTAGAGCTGGGATTTAAACCCACACAACCATGCCAGGACTGCAGTGAGATCAGAGAGGTTCCCAAGGGCATAAAATTTAAGGAAGTACTCCCTCACAGTATCCTATAAGCTCAAACCTGAGAGTGAGTGCCTCCTTAAATCAGGTATCCAGGGTAGTCTTTGCTGCTTGCCATACCCTAGGTCCAGCCTTGCTCTGGAGCCTGAGTAGTGTTAAACCTCATGCATACTGCTTCTCTTGTTCTCACCCTTATGGATCAGAGTCAGCTCTCAATGGGGAAGCAGATTAAACAAACCATGAGAGGGTTTGTAGGTGCTAAAGAGACCAGCAGAGATGGAGCCAAAAGTAGGATTTCTCCTTGCTCTTGGCTGGGCATTCTTCTCTTGCACTATGTCCCCCCCCTTCTTCTCTTTTAATGGCTTTGTCTCAACTCAGCCTTCTTCAATACAGAGGGCATTAAAGATATTCTTCATTTGAGAGGTAAATTTCTGCCTCCCATAGAGAAAACATTAGAGCAGCAGCACAGAGTAGGGTGTGTACTCAGTTAAGCTTTGTTTCATTTTATCAAGTCCAGAAACACCCTGAGATGTATATTGTTGTCAAAGATAATCCAAGGATACATATCTATGAGGAATCTCAGGGTCTTAGAACAGGATCTGATGAAGAGAAGTCAAATACATCAGAGAAAAGGAAATTGTAGGGAATAGTCCAGGATCCCAGGGTAATCATGAAAAACTCACCTTCACCAAATACCCTGTACTCTTGAAAATCTTTTAGTACACTTGGTAAGTTTGGAATAGACTGGACTTTTCTGGTTTGCTGACAAATGGCAAAATAATTATTATATCATTAGGACAAAGAGGTCCTTCTATTCAGTCCTATACAACCTGATATTTAAGAAATCACTGGAATTATGGACTGATAATGTGAGAACTATCCCTGGTACCCTGTAGTGATGGGCCAACCCACTCTTTGTCTCAATGGGGCATGGAATAAGCCTATGAACTTATGAACATATGTGGAGGAGAGCCAACTACGGAGACCATAGTTGAGATGAAGGATGGTGAATGTTATGATCTGGTAGCTTCTTTGAACTTCTCAACATCACACTAGAAAGTTCCTGGTCAACAGTCTTTTATCAGTGAAATCCCAGCAGATTGGATGATAATAGTTTCTCTTCTTTTATAGATATCATGCCAACAGAGCCATGTGGGAAGACCACACTAAATGAACAAGTCAAATCACTATGGTTAGGAAAGAACTGGGCCATGAATGAGTAGCACTTGCCTCTTTGATTAGGTTCATAAATCTGGGTCCAAGGCGCCATGGCTTGTGTCGATGACACTGTAAGGAGCTAACAGTCAGCTGGGAAGCCCGATGAGAGGCAATGGCCACCATGTACACTGCATCATACATCAGAGCTGCTTCAGTCTGTGGAGGAAAACACACACCACATCTTCAATTCCACCTTTGTTGCCCTTCCTTTACCTGCATAATCATTCTACCTGCTTCCTTATCTCCTATTTGTCTGATCTCAACAGCTATTTATTCTCCAGCTGAACAGTTTTCACTCTCTGATAGCTATTTTTCTCTAAAATAATACCTCATACTCCACAGTAAATTGGAGTGATAGCTCTGCTTTGTTTTGAGTTCTTAAAAAAAAAAAAAACCCACACATTAGCCACAAAAGACTTGATTCAGGGAATAAACATTTTTGGAGCACTTTCTATGTTAAGCATGGTGTTAAGATCAACTACATTGAGTTAGAAGCTACTAAACCTCAACATTTCAATATCAGATTTTGTTTCTCAGGACTTATACCTATTTATACATTTATTTACTTGTTTCTATCTGGTGGAAAGAAACAGCTACTAACAAAACTAATGGGTAATTTCCAAATAGGGATACTTTGTTGGTCACTTCCATTTACCGGAGTCAAGAAGGTTTGAGCTGTGGAATCAAATCTAACAGCACATTGTGGAAGACCTTTTGAAACACAAACCTGTGTAACTTGCTTGGAATATGCCTACTTTTGTCAGCATTTGCTTTTTGGTAGAGAGTGTAAGTAGTCCTTGCTTTTGGGCATTGAGCATCTCATTCTTCCCCTCCTCATGAAATTTCTCTCATTTGCAAAATTTCACACAAAACTGCCAGCATTTTATAAAAAGTATTGCTCTATGGTTTTCTTCAAGGATAACATTGTATATAATACCTTCACATTTTAGTTGAGAGTTTTCCCTGGAACTTCATTTGAAATTCTCAACAATCTCCCCAAATCAACAGAACAGATAGATAAAACTACTTAGGTAGAAAAATTGACCCCCAGACAGGATATTGATTTGTGTAGGGTCCTACATATAACCGGTAATTGGTAGAGTTAAATCTAGAATCCAGGTCATAGATCAAAAATCATTATGTTTGTTTGTTTGTTTGTTTTCCCAGAAGTCTGTTGATTTGCTCAACATTTACTATGCACTTATTGAGAGCATGTCTTAATGGAAGTGGAAAGAGAGGGTAAGGGTTACTACATCTCACACTTTATCCATCTGTGAGTCCAGAGATTATCCCCACTTTAAATCTGTATCCTGTGCAATCTCTATCTTTGCATTTTCCATATGCATTTATGGTGACAGCAGTTTCTCAATAAGAACATGAGTTTTGTGAATGCAGAAATGTTCCACTTCATTCTTTAGTCGATAACACAGTTACTGGCACATAAACGATACTTAAAGTTGTTTAATAAATGTTTGCTGAAGGAACTAATGTTATTTCATGCCTCAAAATAAAATACATTTTTATGAGAACTGTATAATTCCACAGTGTTAAGATGTACTTCTAAGATAAATTGTTTCACTTATATGATTGACATATAGAAGTTAGGTTGGTAGTGGTGGTGGTGGTGATTGTTAAAGCTTAAAAATGTTTTGATCATTTCAGCTCAAAGCTGGTATATAATCAGTTTCATAGATGAGAAAACTGAGGCTCAGGAAAATTAGGTGATTAGTTCAAGGCCACTCTGCTAATCAGCTGCCTGGCCAGGGTTTGAACCCATGACTATCTGATCCTAGCACCCATGTTCTTCACTACTCTGCTATGCTAATTTGGTGTAATTGAAGGAGAGTAATCCATTGGCAGAATGAGACTTTTCGAAACTCAATCAATAATAATAGTGACTTTTATCAAGTTCTTATTATATGTTGGGTACTTCTCTAAATATTTTGCAAACACTGAATCTTCACCATAACCTTTACTCCTTTATGGGTAAAGATATGACCAGGTTAAATGGCGTCCCCAAACTAGTGGTGGGAAGATCAAGATTCAAACCCAGGAATTTGGTGCTGGGGTTTATGTTCTCAACCATGAAGCTGAGCTGCCTCTGAAGCAAATATTTGTCTGATGATTTAATAATTAAAGTAATAGCTCAATTATGGTGACTGTTCATGGACAACTTACTACACACCAGGCACTATAAGCATTCTACACATGTCATCGCCTTGAATTATTGAAACGATGCCTTTAAATAGGTATTGTCCCCATTTGCCAACAGGAAAATGGAGACTTGGAGAAGGAACTTTAGGAAATAACTTTGATAACTTGCCTAACTTACTAGGCAAGTGAGAATTTCAAAGCAGGATGTAAACTTAGATTTTGGAACTCATGCCCTTAATTGCTATCCTATTGGGACCTGGACCATTTTAGCAGTGGAATATACTTTTTTACAAATTTGTATGTTTATTCACTAATTGACTAATTGAAAGATTTGATAGAGAAGTGTGAGGAGTGAAGTTTTGACCTAACTTTTCCATAAGCTGGGCTTAGGAAGGATTTGACTTTCTTTGTCAAGGCTGCCTCCACACTGGGCTGGGTAATAAGGTAACTCAAAACAATGGGCCTGATCAGTCCTTTACAAATTCAAAGAAGAAAACCATTTATTCTAAAACCACACTTCCCTTTGACATGCAATATTTTCTTAGATGGAGGAGACATGTCTTTACCTATTTTATAGCACTAATAAACCACCCCTGAATTTCCTTCCCTTTTTTTTTTTTACTGAGCAGCAACTCTCAAGTCATTTTAGGTAAATATAAAAGAAATTGGCCTGTGTTTCAGATTTTATTTTTCTGAAGGTGTTTATGTTCACATTTTATTTATATCAAAAGCCTGGATGAAACCACATTACTCAGTGCCCCTAAGAAAATCTCTTTACCACAACATGGATCATGAAACAAGCGTATGAAAAGCAGTCTCACACCATGTTTTGGTTATCAAAACAGTGGGCAATGAAGGGATAACTCAGCAGGGCTGGGGTGCTCACACTCTATGTATTCCAAAGAAAGGACTGGCTTTTGACTAGCTTCTGGGAGATAACATACGAAACCTTGGACTGTCCTGCCTGATCATAGTGTTTCTGTATTCTTTGGGGTAATGGGCAATGCTAGACAGTTTAACAATATGATTTAAGGGTGAATGCCTGTTTTTGTTCATCTGGGGCCCTGGGCCATGCTGTATCAGTTTGCCCTCTAGAAAGGCTAGAGACTGAGTAAGGTCAGCGACAGGGATGCTCTATGCCTATGTGACTGACTGACACCAAGTCTTGGGTGAGCTTCCCTGGTTGGCAACACTTCATACATGTGGTCCCACATCAATTGCTGTAGAGACTGAAGTACTGTCAATGCAAATTTCCTGGGAGAGGACCACTAATAGTTCCCACATAGTTTCTCCTGGACTTTTTGCCCTTTGCAACCTTTTCCTTTGCTGATTTTAATCTATATCCTTTTGCTGTAATAAACTGTCAACTACGAGTTTAACAGCTCTTCTGATTTCTGTGAGTCCTTCTACCAAATCATCAAACCTGAATGTGGTCTTGGGGGTCCCAAAACAATCTAGTGAGATGTGGCCCCTTAGGAATGAGGACTAACAACAGGATATGGCTTTATAGACTCCTTACATTTTGCTGTCTTCCTGGTATGTAACATTGTTGGAAAAAACTGGAGGAGATTGGAGTTCTGAAGGAAGAACTTAGTCTTTGTGGAACAAATGAGCAAAAAGTATAGATTTCCCATCTTCTCTGGAAATTCAGAAATATTCACCAACCTGACACTGATGCACAAGGCAGTTTTCTAAAAGAGAAGCTTTCCCAAATAACACCCTTCTCCGTCATTTCCTAAATTTACTCTCTCACTGATTCCTCTATTAAAATCCTAATATCTCACCCACAGCATAGAGCTAGTAGGAATTTGTCTCTTAGTATGAATTAGCTAGTTTCCTTTGTGGGGGTGGATGCTGCCAGGGAGCCAAAGTGGTGGGAGAGGCAGTGAACATCCTGAGCATCCAGGATGCTGGCAAGAGCAACCCACAAGTAAACTGGGGTTTGGAAGTGGTCTGGGGAAGGTAGCAAAGATATAGTCAAGTACTCACAATCTTGAAATTCAGTAATTAGGGCAACAACTGTAGAAAATCCAGTGAAACATGGCACAGAGGTTGGCATATTATAATTTCAATATGCATTTTTCAGCTTTTGAGAGAGACAGTGAGAAATTGGGAAAAGAGGACCATATGCCGAGTTGGAAAACACACCCGGGTGATTCCCCTGGTCACACAAGGTCACACAGGTCCCTGGCAAGGGGCTATCTTGGGCTACATGCACAAGCCAAGAAATATGTCTCTTGTAAACAACTAAGGATTCAGCCTCTGCATTTCAGAGTGTCTTTTGTTCCTTATTGACTACAAACTGGCATAGCCACAGGTACCATCAAGTAAATTCAATTCTATGTCCTGGAGGTTTTGTATATATTATCTAATCTAATCTGTAAAGTAACACTGTAAAGGATTATTACACAGATTTACAGATAAGCAAGTGGCTCAGAGAAGTTACATAACCTAGTCAAGTCATTTATTTATTCAGGGGACATAGCCAGTACTTAATCTAGGCTTTCCTCATCTGCAAAGATCTTGCTTTTTCCACTGAATTCCACAGCCTGTTGTCTTTCATCATGGGAGCAGCAGGGGACACTCAGGTGGACACTCAAAGGTGCCTCCTTGGATCATGATTATAGGAAATGCTCACATGTAACATAAGGCTACTGACTGAACTTGATGCTGTGAATGCATTTGAAGAACTGGGAAGGCCAATGACAGATCAACGTTGTGTTGTTTCTATGATTCCTATGCACTATTGAATCACACACAGTTTTTGCTCATAATCAGAGAGGAATCCACCTAAAAATGGGCCACTCCATTATCCCAGTCTGTCCAAAAGCCAGTAGATTGAATCAGCCCAAGTGCTAAGAGAAATTTAAACGTAGTGAAAAGAAATGAAGTAGATTTTGTAAAGTTACTCCAAACTTCTATTGAGTTAACACTTCAGTTGATAAAACACTTTCTTTTTTTAATCTCAAGTTGTTTTAAATAACAAGTTTCACTATTTTTGAACTCTATTGACTCAGTACCAGGTTTCTTAATTAACGCAATTTTAACCCGATTTTTAAAGTCAATATCTTTTTTTCTTTAATTAGATCTATGGATCTTAAGTCTGGAGTCAAAATTTTTCAGCTTGGACATGATTTTCAGATTTGGATATGTTTTGACATATATAATATTATTTGAAGATATTATTAGTGTATGATGTTCTAAGAAATTTTTAATAGTTAAAAATATGAAAGAGGAAATTAGATAAGTAGGTGGAAGTAAAAACACATGGGTATTTTTAAACATATTTTTAAAAATATCTATATTATATATTCATACAGGCATCTGTATATGTATGTAGCACACACAAAAATATAACTATAAAGGGCAACAGGAAAATTCGCCTTGGAGTGTAGTGGTATAATGCATATGATTTCAGAGAACGCAACTCTATTCTAGTAATGGCATTACTTAAATATAAATAGCGGTTAGTCTGCTTCAGGATAATCTCTGTCTTCACTACGCATGCCTATTTTTTATCTACAGGAACTCTCTTTGGACTTTTACAGACTTATTTCAGGGCTATATGAGTATTTTTCATGTAACATCTTGGTTTTAGCAGAAACTCAATTCCTATTTATTTAGCATTAGTTCCCTTATCAGAAACATATTTATTGAAGGCCTGCTTTGTGCCGGGGCTTTTCTAGTGCTGGGGATAGAGCAGATCATAAAAAGACAAAGCCTCTGTCCTCATAGAGTTTATATTCTCGTAGGGGAAGGCACTAAGCAAACAAATCGAAATATAACGTATGAGGTCATAGGAGTACAGAGCGAAGGAAAACAGGCCATGGGAGAGAGAATAACAGGCTTCTCTGCTGAAATGCATTCAAACAAATGGAAACAGGGGAGGGTTTTAGGCAGTGAGAGCCATAAATGCTACAGACATGAGAAAGAGTGAACCATGAGATCTGAGGAATGCAGACCCAGTGGAACTGAAACCACGGGGCTTTTCATCAGGAAGGTAGGGAAGAAAATGGTTTGAGTACAGAGGCAACCTGAGAACAAAGATTTGTTAGATCTGGGCCCTGCCTTGCGGACATGGCGTGTGCTCTCTTGATTCAGAGATTAGTCCACTGGATACCTTTAAACCTACCCTTTAAACTCGCTGTAACTCAGTTTCCACATCCCCAAATTGGCGCCCTTTACTAGAAGCCAAAAGGAAACCGTGAAATGCAAAATGGCCTCTTTGAGTGAATAAAGGTCAATATTACTTCATGGGATCAATTTCAAACTGTATCTCTTTTTTTTCTTTTTATTGTGTCTGTATGAGATGACAGATGCTAACTAAACTTATTGTAATTATCATTTCATAATATATGTAAGTCAATCTGTTATGCTGTATACCTTAAAGTTATACAATGAAGTATATCAATTCTATCTCAGTAAAACTGGGGAAAAACAGATTTGCGTGGGATCCGACTTCGAGTGGGTTCTGTGTTCTAAATTTTTTGACTAGTATAGATATGACCTGATATATCCACTCTCCTCATGTTTAGTGCCCTGGTGAGCCCTTCTCTTCTGCTCTGATAAATCTCCATTTCCTTTTTTATAGTTTATAACAACAACAACAACAACAAAGACTAGAAATCCTTTTCTTAGGTGAGATGACAGTAGTAAACTTTAGGCAAAACAGGACCTCTTCCATCCATTGGGACTTGGCTCCACCATGCTTTCTGCCCATGGGACTGCCATTTGCCCAGGACCCTGGCAGCAGTCCTGGGGGAGTAACAGCACCCCATGCCTGGCCCGAGTTGGTGTGACTTGCGTGGCTCTATCCTTGTTCAATGATTTTCCTCATCTCATTCAATATGTATAAACTGTCCTGTCGGCTAAGTATAATTGAATGCAACAGATGCTTTTTTTGGCAAATTAAGCCATACTTATGATGAATATTTAATGTTTGGCATGAATCCACATGCTGTGTTAACAGATCCAAACTGTAACTTTTTTAGTGGTATATACCAAGGACAGGTAACGATTATTGGAGATCTCAGCCTGTGGTAGAAATCTCATTGGGAGGCAAGGTGGGTGGACAGGGTTTGAGCCATATTTGAACTCACTGGAATTACAAATCTAAGAGGAAGAAGAGAGAAACAGGTGTATTAGCATACCTCTCTGTCTCTGACTCTTTCTCTCTCTCTCTCTATCTTGCCCCCTTCCTTTTCAGAAGGTCTAGTATTTCCCTAGATATTCTTTACTTGCTCCTATTCAAAGCAATGTTTCAAATCATCCAAGGCTCATTTGTATCAAGATGTTTCCATCATTATCTCTCAGAATACTTTGTATACTTTACAATACAAACTTCGGGTTTGAAAAACAGTCAGGAAGCTTGAACATGGACTCATCCAGAACCACTTCATTCATTCATTTATTTTTTTCTATCCATTTGTTTCTCATAAAAAATGGTAGAAAAAGAAAAGAAATCCCAAGTTCATTTCTCTGCAAGATGATCAGTTATCGGTAAATTGCATCTTAAAAGCAAGAGTGCTTCTCCCGGTGATGGGAACAGAGAATGAAATACTATGCCAATTTCAAATGCTATTACTTGCCCACATTCCCAGTATCTTTCCCTTTAGATGACACGATTCCTACATAGAAAGCCTTTTAAAAAAATTTCCTGCTCTTTTCTTCATCATGCAGGGAGCTTCATTAAAGAAATAAAGCTAGGGTAGGTGTGTTTGACAACGAAAGACAAATGATGTTAGTGAGAAGCTCTCTGATGAGGCAGTTTGCAATTTATCTGCTCAGCAGAGTACCTCTCCCCTGTCAGGATGTGAGCCTGGCATCTGCTTTGAGAGGAACATATGGCTGGTGTGAATCACTGTCAATGTCTGCAAAGGTGTTCCTGTACATATCCAGGCAGGAAGAATGTGAACACACCAACAGGATGTGAATCTGGCGTTTTTCCACGTGTGCACTGCTTGCTGAGATGTGACAGAAATGAGGAAGGCAAACTGGTTCTGCATCACTCTTGTAGGCAGCTTGCTCCTCTTCTCCTGCCCCCCTTCCAAGACCACATTCCCAGGCCTAAAACTCTCTCCACTCAGCCTTGCTTTGGTTTCTGATTTGTCTCCATTTGGCTGACAGTGATAGCTACTCCTGTTAACTTTTTTTTTTTTCTGGTCAAAGGCATATACAGTCAGAAAGCTGAAAGCAGCAGTTTTTGATAGTAGCCCTGCACAGGCTTTCAAATTACCTAAAAATTTACTCCTTCTTTTCTCATTCAAGTCAAGGCACAGGTTATAATATTTTCACTCACACTATAGAAGGCATATGAGATTCTTAACCTAACCCCTAAAGGAATGCAAATGTCATCTCAAATGATTTTATTTTAAGACTACTCACTGTCATCATGCCATCCAAGAGGCCAGTCTCCCGCCTGGGGGGGGCCTGCAGTCTCTCCATGGACCACTTCTCAATGATGGAGGACACGTGAGGGTTGTCAATATTAAGCAGCCGAAACCCAGTCATGTTTACACCACTGTACCTATAGAGCTCCAAATCTAAAGCAAATAAGTCCTGCACAGTATTAAAAATGACAAAAGAAGAAAGAGTTAACATTTTCAGCGTTCTTTATGAAAAACAGAATAATGATTGCAGAAGCAACAGGTAGATTAAAACTAAAATAGCTGTCCTCACACTGCTTCATGAAAAAACATTTCCCATTGTTCTTCCCTTGCATGCTGCCTGAGAAACTCTAAGAGTGAGCAGTTTTCATTTTCCTCTATTTTTTGCAATACTATCAGAATTTGGATAAATCAAGAAGAGGATTTGGCTGTTAATAATTAGTATGCCCTTGGGCACAGGTTACAATATTCTGAGAAGTTAGAGTTCTGTTTCTAGACTATGGTGTTTGGGGAGTGGGAAGGACTCTTTGTGCCCATTTGGTCCAATGCTTTTATTTTATAGATGAAGACTCTGAAGTTCTGAGTGGTGATGCGACCAGTCCAAGGATGACCCAATTGTCAGCGGCAGTACTGCTCTTCTCCATCACTTCTTGCTGCCTCAGATCTTGTAAAGGAGATGAAATTTGAACTTGCATATGCATGTGATAGGAAGATCACTTCCAGCAGGAAAAAAATACCATTCCCTGGCTCATTGACCCATGCCCCATACAATGAGGGCATGAAGAACGTTCACTGGACGCAAAATCTGAGTCAGAAGTGAAGGGTTCTCTTCGGAGACTAAAGTGGAGCATAGCGTTGTGTGAACACGAGTATCATAACAGTAGAACTAATTCCCTTTCAGACAATGTTTCAGGAAGAAAAGTTTAACCCACTCGCGTTTTCCATTACAGATGAGACCGAGTGTAATCTAGAGGTTTATGTTGATGCATATTTATTTTGTTAAAGGTTTTATTTATTTATTTATTTATTTATTTATTTATTTATTTATTTTTATTTGAGACAGAGACAGCATGAGCAGTGGGGGTGGAGAGGAGGGACAGAGGGAGAGAGGGAGAAGCAGACTCCCCGCTGAGCAGAGAACCTGACTAGGACCCTGGGATCATGACCTGAGCTGAAGGCAGATGCTTAACCAACTTGCCCTTGTTGATTCATATTTAAAATGATATAAAATTTCAACTTTCTTCTTGTGAAGAAAGGTTTGACTCTAACATATGTCATTAAAAATACCTCACATTTTGAATAAACCAAACTTTCAAAGTAACATTTAACAGGAAAAAAAAGAGAAAAACTTCCATAAAAATTTCCAAACACTGTAACTGTTTTATGGAATTGCAGTGCAAATTAAGACCTGATCAGTGATGACCATGGTAAGGAGAAGTAGCTTCAGAAACACCTCATGATCTGTATTTTCAGAAGATATGCACAGATTTGTTCTTTTGAATAATTCTTTACACTGCTATCCTTTCCCAAGATAATGTTGGATTAGACTGTAGAGTTTTAAGAAGGCAGATCTGTGCTCCTGGCTCAGTATCAGAAAAAGAGTACTGCCTTCCCAAGTGTTATATTTTTCCCCCTTGTAGTACATAACTTTCTTTCCTCTTTATCAGTACTCACGGGCAAGAATGGTAAAAATATAAAAAGCAAAACATGGCAGAATGCAGATAAAACCAAAGGAAAATTCTTAAGGAAGTAAATTTAAAGAATAAGACCCTAAAAAGAATGATATCCTTTAACATCCTCAATGAATGGAAGGAAAACTACTCAAACTACAAGAAGTCAGAAAATTCCAGGATACATATGGGATCCCTCATGGACTCCACAGTACATAATGCAGTGTGCTAAAATGAATACTATACACAGGTGCAAAATTAGGTTGGCCTACAAACTGAGGTTCCTATGCAGTATAGAATAGGGAAAGTCCAGGGTCCAATTTTTAACATCTGCTTGTCAATGAAGGATGAGAAAAGAAGACTCTGAGGGCAAGTTGTTTGTTCCCAAATTGTTTCCGTGAAGACGAGACTTTTCAGGTTTCATTGTTCAAATTCTTTCTCAAATTTCAACAAAACCAGCTCTTAAGAGTGTGCACAGCCAGGAATGATAGAAAGTTCTGAGGCAGGTGTCCATGCTGCCTTGAGCAGAAGCCAGATGTTCACGGTGATGGGGGAAGGGCTATACTTGTGACCTGACTAAGATGCTTTGGAGTTCTCAAGCGTTTCTTCAAATGTTCTGACAGAAGCTCTAATTAGGATGTCAATGATGGGAGGGACGATCATGGAAACTTTAGTTCAAGATTTTCTGCCCTGCATCCCACTCCCTTGCCCCAAGCTCTGGAACAATGATGATTTTGGCACCTGCCCCAGTACATTGGTCTCACAATGTCCACTGTACCCTCATGCTTCCTGAGATACTTGAGTGAGGAGTGGAATTCACTGCTTCCATCAGTAGTATGTATTCAAGGACAGCTTCCTGGTTCTGGTTCCAAATTCTTTTATTTCCCTTACTCACCAGCTTACCTTGCCAGTTTTATTTGGTAAAATGTTACTCTTAGGAAATTTCCCAGAACCTGGGTAGATTTCATTGGACACACTGTTACAGATTAACAAAGAAAATTGGTTTTGTGTTTTCTTCTCCTGTGAGAAACTGGAGTGTGTGTGTGTGTCTGATTTTTAAAAATTGAATGAGAGCTATCACATCATTTTGATGTGTTAAATGCCCTAAATCATTCTCCCTTGATATGATAGTCTCAAAATTTAGGATGTTATGGTTTCTTTTGAACTTCTTAGGCTCAGAACCATGATTTTTTTTTTTTTTTATGGTGAAAAATGTTCACTGTGCAAAGCATCTCCCATGCTCCTTTTCTTGATGATCTTCAAAACACCTGACCAGTGACCCCTGGCAAACCTAGCTATCTACTGGACATAAGCAAGTAAATCACATAAGATCAAAAAAGCCAAATATACACTTTAGTGTGCCTTCTAATGTATGTAGAAAATGTAGATGATTCTTCTTTATGACTAGTTTGCACTTTGACAGTTCCTGTTTAATGAAAGTATCATTTTAATCCCTTTCCAGATGCACATGCTCTGATGCTCGTTAAAAAAAGAAAAGAAAGAAAGAAACTGCTGTTCAGCATTTCTGGGTTTACAGGATTCTTAGGAAAGTAAGATAAATCTCCATGACACTATCCTGCCTCTGGCACTGGTGGGGCTGACTTTTGAAATAACTGGAGACGTTTCCTATAACATAGAATTCATTTCCACCTGAAGTGCTTACCAGGGTTGTGAAAAAGTAGTGATAGTACTCAGTCATCATGCCCATGAACAGAATCTGCAAAAGAGAAATAAGGGGAAAGAATCAGAAACAGAATTATAATAAGAAATAGATCATTAGCTGGGCAACTGCAATAGCTTGAGGACACAGAGCAGGAAGGCGCTTTGGAAATCCACAGATTCAGCAGCTCAGAAACCGGAGACAGATCAGTGGCTGATGAGGATCCAGGCCATTAACCTCCATCCAGTGTTCTTTCATTAGACTACGTTCGATCTTCATTGGAGTGGTAGGTCTAATTTAAATGTAAAAAAATTAAAAATAGCTTCTGTGCAACAAATTTAGTATTTGGATCTGACCTTAATAACAGTGTTTGCTGTCCTTATTGACTAAATGTCTGATGCTTCAATAGATATTTCATTGATCTCCTTAGCTTTAATACTTATCATATTGCCTCAGAGAAGAACTCATTAAATGTTGAATTGCAATACTGGTATGTAGATATATTTAAAAGAGGTTTTATACATATGCATATCTCTGAAGCCTTTCTCTCTACTGCTTTCCCATCTTATCCCACAGTGTGAGTAGGGGAAAAGAGGATTTGTTTATAGATAGAAGGATGGGGACTATTCTTGTACAAACGCCACATTGCCTCTTAATTTTGATCCTGTTACCTCTTGGGATCGTGACAGTTGCAGACATTCTGTGTGTGTTTTTACCTGGTAGGGAAGGGGGAAAGAAGTGAAGAGAAAGGACAAGGATTCTAAGTAGAGTATGTTTACTAAAATGTGATCTTACTTTTAGATTCCTGGAAATGGTGTCCACTGAGAAGAAACAGTTGCAAATGATTTGGAGATAAGGAAAGGTTTCTGTATCTTCTAAATCAAGGGTGTCACCTTCCTTGGGTCGGGGGAGGTCGGCAAAGGACAAAGGACTATTTGGGTGCTGTTACTTGGTATTTGTATAGAAATAAACAGAGAAGTCTCAGAAATAAAATTTCCAAGGCAGTTTTCCCCACAACTCTGATAAACTCTGAATGCAAGTGAGAATCCCCTCTGGAAGTTTTAAAATCAGATATTCTTGACTCCATCACAGAGACATCCTGAACTGGAATTTCTCAGAGAAGACCCTGGGTTTCTGTATTTCACAGCAGTGGTTGAGGAACACACTCCATGGAAAACATGTCCACTCACACCAAAGAACGGGCTTTCATAACTTCAACTGAAGAGATGGATTGAAAGGTCTCAGGAAAGACAGCAGCATGTTATCAGAGGTCCTAGAAAGTTCCTAAGATATGTAAACTCGAATAATTTTGCATGAGAAGGGATACAGAATGAAGAGGGTATTCCAAGACAGCACAGGACACACCAATCCTGCACTTCTTTTGCCCTCTCTGCTAATGTTGGAGACCAGAGGAATATTTAGTGCAATTGTAATGTCATGAAGGTAAGATAAATGACAGGAAACTCTGAATCATGAGCCCACCGTGTGTAAGTCACTCCTATGGCGATAACAAGACCAGGCACACAAAAGAATTTTAAAAAGGGTAGAATTGCTTTAGGGCCATCAATAACGTTTAAAGCCATGCATAGTGAGGTCTTGTTGGCTGGTCTCACATCAGCGGAGCATAAAGACCTAACCTGCCGGGGTCAGTCAGGAATCCAGTTTTTCACTTTAGATATTAGATAGTGTAATTGCAGCCAAGACTACCTCTTCAGAGAGGACGCGGCAAATTTTATGTCAAGATAGAGAGCTAGACACTAAGATTTAAAATATTGTTTCTGAAACTGAAAAAGAAACAAAAAGGCACCTGAATTTTTAGCTTTTCACTTGGGCTGACTTTTCTTTTAAAATTTGGTTATGGAAACATTTGGTCACCAATTGAAGGCATAGGCTTCTCCCCTGCTTTTAAAGCAACCATTCAACTAATGCTTCTTATTATTTTTTACCTCCTGGAGGCAAATATTCTTTGATATACCTCTTATTTAATGTTAGAAAAAAAGTTATGAAGATGCAGTGAATATTCAGCTAACGGGTCTACTTTTATTGCAGAAAGAACCCTTGGGTCCTCTGAGTAGGCCTTTCATTTAGCACACTAGAAAAATCTCTGTTCTTGACGTTCCTGCCTAGTTCCTGGGTCAGTGCCTCCTGGTTCTTCCCTCGAACATCTTAGAAATGGTAATTAAGAAACAGGTAGAGTCCAGCAACCCTCAGTTTTTTTTCCTGAGATTAAGAATTCCTCAAAAACTAATGATGTAATGTGTGGTGATTAACATAACAATAAAAAAGAAAGAAACAGGTAGAGTCATGAATCATTCACCTGCCCCCTTTGTGGACTCTCTAGAACATGGGTGAATGAAAAGCTTCTGGGTAAGAATAAAGTCAGTAGCACCAAAAGTGATGATTTGAAAACAATTGTCCATGTGAGAGTCTGTGGACTGGTTGGGGCCAGCATCTCTGTTGTTTAATAGTAGTATAATTTATAAATAAAACTATTGCATTCACATGACGATTTTCTTTCTGCACGTTGGTATTTCAACTAAAAGTCATTAGGGATTAAGAAAATGTCACATCAAGATAAATGTCAGTTTTTCAAATAAAAAAGTATAATCATGATACGGGGAATTTTCTAATCTTTGCAAAACTGACTTTTTCCTTAGAAAAACTACCTTCTTTGAATTTTGATAGTGTACTTGTCTGCCAGACTAAGCAGGAGGTGCTGACCTAGGCAATGTATACTTTACCAAGGCAGTATTGCTAGAAACTAGCTCTGGCTATCTTCAAATCACTTTTTAATAGCACAAAACACATCACATCACACACACTAATGTGTAATAAATGTGGCCGTCAATACTATTTATATTGATGGGATATTATCCTTCATTGCTTCCACTAATATGTTCTTTTAATAATGGTTGTTTCTTAACAGAATTATTTTTATTAAATAACCCTTGACATCATATCATTGACTTAGATTGATAGACAGTAAAAAATCTAGCCCTTTCAATAACATTACATATCTATAAGAAGGATAATACTGAGTATCTACTACTCTTCTTGATTTTACAAGACCCATAGTTTAGACATAATTTGTGCCATTGCCAATTTCCCAGCTGGAAGGACAAATGGCAGGACTGCATTTCCTGCCCTCTTGTGTTTGGGTGGAGCCATGTGCTGGTTTTGGCCAAGGAGGTAGGAAAGATACTGACTTAGGTCATCCTCTAGAGATTTCACGCTGATAGATGATTAAGGAGGCTATGAGGACCATAGCAAGCTGTTTTTGTTCTGAATAAATACAATTTTCTGTTTCATGAGTACTGCAAGGCATGTAAATGCTCTTTTTATGACTTTGTTTTGAATGCTGGAGAGTTGAAGGTGAAAATTGTGGGTTCTCCTTTAGCAACAAGAATACAAGGTATATATTCCATGTGTGCCAATGCCATTCAGCTTTGTTTTTCTTATCTAATTTCTCCCTTCTTTCCAACTCCTCTCCTTTTTTTTTAAAAAAAAGTATTTATCACTTTGTTTCAAAGGTATTTTCTAGACTGAGTTAATTCCTTGTGGAATAAATATATAACACATAATAAATAATTATGGTTAGGAGAAGCTGAGAGATCTTTTTCTCATAAAGAGGGATGAACTGTTCAGATCTCATGTAGCTGGGCTGGGTTAGAGTAGCAAAAAAGGCCTCCAATAAAATAATATTCAGAGTTAATCATACTCTCTGTTCCTGCAGAATGAATTATAAGAACTCAAAAGAGACTGTGATGGTTAATTTTATGTGTTAACTTGACCAAGTCAATGGGTGCCCAGATTAAATATATTTCTGGGTGTGTTTGTGAGGGTGTTTCCAGATGAGATAAACTTTTGAATTGGTAACTTAGCAAAGTAGATGACCCTCCAATGTGGTGGGCATCATCCAGCCCACTGAGATCCCGAATAGAACAGAAAGGCAGAGGAAGGAAGAATGCATCCTTTTTCTTCCTGCCTGACTGCCTGAGCTGGAACTTTGCTTTTCTCCTACTCTTGGACTAAGATTTTCACCACTGGCTCTTCTGGTTCTCAGGCCTCCAGAATTGAACAGGAATTATTCTACTGCTTTACTGGATCTTCAGTTTGTGGATGGCAGATTGTGGGTCTTCTCCTCCTCCACAGTCATGTGAACGTATTCCTTCCTCATAATAAATCTTTTCATATCTGTCTTCTATTTGTTCTGTTTCTCTGGAGAACCCCGATTAACACAGAGAAAAATACCAAAAGACTAAATGTCTTGATACTTTGCATATGTATGATATTCCATGCTATCTAGAAGACATAATCCTTAAGCCAGCAAGAAGAAGGGTGACTCACGCCTATTTGAAGAATTTCTCTGAATTATACATTATGGAAGTGCCACATGACTATTCTGTTGTTTCAGTGGCTTGAAAATAATTAACTATTTTCTTCCTTTTGTAGTTAAAATGAATCATCAGAAGATAAAATAAAACTCATTGGCAGTTGACTCTCAAAAGGACAATTCTAATGGTCCCACTATTATCATTATACCCTGACACATAGTTATTGTGCATTAACAATGGCGGCCCCACTTTGGCCCATCTGCTCTCTGGAGCTTTTATAACAGAACACTCATGACCTTGTTGACAGCAGCATTGACTTTCCTTGGTGTAGTCCTGTTGTTCTTGGCAAAGATTATCTCTTGGATTTAGATGGGTTATCACATAAAACCTGAGCAACACAAAGATCATGCTTTAGTTTGTCTTGAGAGCCTTCATTCAAGTCCAGATGAAGATGACCAACATAGTTTGTGGATTCTAACTTCTGTGGTTGGTCACACAGTTGGCCTACAAGATACCTGGAAAGTCTCTGGGTAAAAGTCTTCCAAAAACATGTCCTGGTATCTCAAGAAGCCTGCACCATATTTCAACGTGATCATCTTTTCAGAAGGCAATGCAGTGCTATGGAGGTAGTAACAAAAAAAATTCTCTACAAATTCTCAGCATCCATTGCTAAGGGCAAGCCATATGTCACAAATAATTGGCATATGCTGCTATCATAATAGC